GGTGTTAGTGAGAAAGGTCCAGGTAGGTGCTCCGGTGCCGTGAGTGCTCTCTTCCGTCTTCCCAGTGCAGAGGGTCCGTGCAGTGCTCCTGTGGGGCTGGTCGGTCACACGCTGCTTTCGGTGGGGAAAATGAGAGGGCGAGTTAGTGCTCAGTCTCATGGAGGAATCTCCTAGATGGCAGGGCTTGCGTGGTTTATGTAGCCACCGCCTGATGAGGTGCAGCTGTGACCGATCAGCCTGTGATGATGATGGCCAGGTGCTCCTCACTTGTTTCCAGGGCGACACTGATGAAGCTTCGGGACGCTCGTCACAATACACACCACACCACGCAGGGTGTGTCCACAGCATAAGATGTTATAGTGACATTCAGTTTGTTTTTCTTTTAAAACAAATGTGATTTAAGTTCCGTTTCTGTTTACAGAACTGTTTTCCTTTTAATGCCCACCTAATCGCAAACTATTTACAGGTGTGTCAGATGGAGGCAGATTAATGACATGACATCTTTCTAGAATTTCTAGAAATGTTGTATAAGCTAGCACTCTCTTCTTATTGCCTTGCATCCCCCCCCCCATTGATTGTTTTGATTGATTGATAAAAGTTTTTTTATCCGCAGAGAGGGGCAATTTAAATGTAGCAACATACTATAAATGAGATCTTTATAAAATACATACATGAAAAAACTACACCAAATACACAAACACCACATCTCTGTCACAAAGTACAACAAATCATGGACACATTTTATTAAATAGTTTCACAGCAGATGGAAGAAAATACCTTCTATGCACTCTAAAAAATGCTGGGTTAAAAAGGGACAAACCCAGCGTTGGGTCAAAACAACCCATCCGCTGGGTCAACACAACCCAATAGCTGGGTTTGTCCCTTTTTAACCCAGCATTTTTTAGAGTGTATTGCTCTTTTAAGCAGCGTGGATAAATTAGTATGTTGCTATAAATGAACTACACATCATGGAGGGAGTGAGATTCATACTTCATGATGGAAGACAGCTTCCCTAACATCTTTTCTTGCCCAATTTCATCAACAGAGGGCAGAGAGCACCCCACAACTGAGCTGGCCTTCCTAAACAGTTTGTTAAGTCTTTTTTGTCTCTCTCAGAAATCCCTCCACCCCAACACACAACAGCATAGAAAATAACAGATGCAACAACTGTATCATAAAAAGGTCTTAGCAATACCCGGCACACCCCAAAAGATCTCAATCATGTGAATACGACATGTGTATACGACTCTGACCCTTTTTAATTCATATGATCACACCAGTCTAGCTTGTTATTTAAATAGATTTCCAGGTATTTGTAAGATTTCACAATTTCAGTATACACCCCACGGATGGTTACAGGGGATATGTGCTGTGTGTGTGTGTTTTTTTAATATACTAAAATTTTACTTGCATTAAGTTCAAGGCTGTTCAGCCTGCACCAGTCCACAAAGTTCACAATCAGCTCTCTATATTCATCTTAATTTTTATCAGCAGAGGTGGACAAAGTACACAACTCCATTACTTGAGTGAAAGTACAGATACTGCTGGTCAAATATTACTCCATTACAAGTGAAAGTTGTAAAGACAGATTTTTACTTAAGTAAAAGTACAGAAGTACTTGCTTTTAACAGTACTTAGTACTCAGTTGGCTCTTTCATTTAGAAGGAGGGACCATATTGCCTCTCCCATTCATAAGTATAGGAGTGAACCGTCTTTGTATTTCTATAGTATTTGGTTAAATGCACTTGAAAAGTCAAAAAACATAATTCTCATTATACTTCTGGCTCTCTCCAAGTGAGCCGTGGCCTAATAGTTAGAGAGTCAGACTTGTAACCCAAAGGGCGTGGGTTCGAGTCTCGGATTGTAGGTGGGGGAAGTGAATGAACAGTGCTCTCTTCCACCCTTAATACCATGACTGAGCCTTGAGCAAGACACCGAACCCCCAACTGCTCCCTGTGTGTTTGTTCACTACTCACTGATGTGTGTATGTGCACATGGGTGGGATAAATGCAGAGCACAAATTCCAAGTATGGTACACCATACTTGGCCACACGTCAAGTCACTTTAAAAAATGCTTGATGCAAAGGAAAAATAACTGCATCAACAACTCCAATACATTTTTTATAGGCAGGGCCATCCTTGGTGGGGTGCAACTGGTGCGGTCGTTGAGGGGTGTTTTGGGTTTTGGGAGGGGTCCCCCCCGGAACGCAATCGCGAACGGACCGAGGGGGGCCCCGCTCCCTACCTCGCACCAGGCCCCGCGTCAGCTAAGG